AAATTCCCCCGATACTTATCCAACATGGTGGTTAAAATCCCAGCCTTGATACACATTTCTAAGGCTTATATTATTAGTTACAAAATTGTTACTAGATCAGCTATCTGGTTACACCTAAAATTTAGAAGCTTTGTTCCACACATTACTGACAATATATTTCAATAGCACCGAGCTTTGACTATGCTATGCCTCTTAACCAGCAAATAATCTAGCATGGTAGAAAGCCTACACTGATAAAACAAGCAAGATGGCTATTTTCCATCGCTTGATACAAAATTAGATAAAAAAGGTATTCTAGTATCATCAATTGGTTCCAAGGACGGATCCAGGATTGGATCTAAGACCNTCTAAGACCGGGCTACAAAATTACAAACCGGGCTAATACGTGAAAAAAAAATTTTTTCACATGAAAAACTGTTTTAAGAAAAAAAAAAGAAAAAACCTTTAAAAAAATTTTTTTTTTGGGCCTTGAGGGGGGGGCTATAGCCCAGCCGAGCCCCCCTTTGTATCCACCCCTGACTGGTTCACCTGCCTTCTTAATCTTATATGTTAACTATGTATCCTAATAAAGTAGAAAGGGATTCATGACCATGGGCGATAACCTTGGCTTGTCTCTTTGCTAGAAGTTTCTTTGCCTTTTTCTTCTTCTGCTCCATGGCATTCGCCAGCTCCTCCATTTCATTAAGTATCCTATCATCTTTATCTTCCTTGCTTTCCTGTTCCATAGCCGTCGTAGCAGAAGTAGCCTAGCCTTCTCTGTAGGAGACAGTGTCTTCCTTATTTGCATACGCCATCTAAACCACAACACAAACATTGAAGGCACAAAATCATTCAAGAGAAACACAGAATCACCAAATATGGTAAATGTGGATTAGTTTGAGCTAATTTGTTACATTAGTTTGCAGTTAGGGTGAGCACATGCATATTTGTTTGATTCAGTTTCGTTAAATTAAGTTTTTGATGTTTTGGCTGTGTCAATGTTTCGTTTTGATATGTTGGGTTGCATTGATACCGTGTCTTACTTTAGCTTGTGATTTAAAACTGAACAATATGCTTTATGAGTTACATTTATTTACATTTACTCAACTGACACTTATAATTGGACTGTTTGAACCGTGATTATTATTGATCTTGTTTTTCACACATTTTACACTGGGTATTTGAGTTGTCTATTTCAGGAAACAGGTATTGCTGATTCGTTCAATACAGATTGTAGTATAGGTGTGTCATTGTTTTGAGTCTGTAACTTTATTTTTCATTACTGCGTTGACTAGAATAGTGTTTTGTCACAGAATGTCAAAGTGGGGAGTTTGTTAGGTTTTAGTTGATTTTGCAATTGACTTATTCTGTAGACAAAATGACTTAAATTGATAGGTAATGAAATTTCAAGGAGTAATGTGTAATATGTCAATAGTTAGTTGAATAGGTCTAGGATTTCGAGTTTCGAACAAAGGAGAAAATGGCGCGAATTTTCGCTGGACTGTCGCCAAGGGTTGGCTCGAGCTACAAAAGTAGAAACACTGTCGCTAGACTTTCGCCCCTCCATTTCTCAATTTTACACGTCAAATAATGTTTCCATTTAATTCTTACCATCTTCATTTTTTGTGAAGGAACTTTGCACAGGGGCAATTCTTTTGCAGGGCAAAACTAAGGATGGAGTGTATGAGTAGTCAGTATCATATCAAAATTCTTCACAATTACTAGCATTTTCTAGTGTCAAGACCACTTCGTCCGAATGGCACCACAGACTAGGACATCTTGCTTTTCGAATTTTAAAACATATGGTTTCCACTTATAAATTAGATATGTTATCTTCCGTGTCGTCTGATTTCTTCTGCAATGCCTGTAATTGTAATAAGAGCCACAAATTATCATTTTCCAATTCATCTCTTAGTTCCTCTCAACCCCTTGAAATCATTTTCTCTGATGTGTGGACTTCACTTGTTCTTTCACATGATGATTTTAAATATTATTTTATATTTGTTGATCAATTCACCAAATATATTTGGTTCAATCCACTTAGGCACAAGTCTGAAGTTAAAAGATGTATTTATTAGATTTAAAGCTATAGTGGAAAAATATTTTAACAATAAAATCATCACTTTACTCTGACAACGGCGGTGAATACTTGGCTCTTTATAGTTTTCTTGCTATGAATGGCATCTCTCATCTTACCACACCTCCACATACTCCTGAACACAATGGATATTCTGAAAGACGACATCGTCATATTGTTGAAACTGGTCTCACCTTACTCTCTCATGCCTCCCTTCCGTTGAATTTTGGTCACGTGCTTTTGCCACTGCTGTCTATCTCATTAATCGCATTCCCATTCCAATACTCAATCTCTCATCTCCTTATGATCAAATTTTTGGTTCCGCCCCAAACTACTCAAAACTTAGAGTCTTTAGTTGCCTATATTACCCTTGGCTTTGACCATATTCCTTCCACAAGATTGATTCTCGTTCCAAACTGCATGTCTTTATTGTGTACTCTTTCACTCAAAGTGCTTATTTATGTTTTGATACTTCCACATCTAAAATTTTTGTCTCACGTCACGTCAAGTTAGATGAAAATGTCTTTCCTTTTGCTTCTCATTCTAGTAAACCACCACATTCTGAATCCATCACTATAGATACTTAGGTTCCTTCAATTATCACCATCCCATCTTTCAATAATCAGGTACTGCCACTTCCTACACCATCTAATGTACGACCTCAAGAGCTGTCCTAATGCAATGCTCCATCAACATCTACCACCACTGAACATCCACTCTCAGACTTACTGCAAATACCACATCAATCCCATACCCAACAAACCAGCTTAGACCCTTCCACCAATCCCCGATATAACATAATTTCTCATGCCCCAAATAATTTCCCCCAACAACCTCCCACCTACACAATGACCACCAGGGCCAAGAACAACATCCATAAACATGTTCAGAAACTAAATATATCCGCTCAACTCTCTCACCACACAGTGACCCAAGCCCTCAAAGATCGAAAATGGCGTCGGGCCATGTCGGAAGAGTATGATGCACTAGTTCGAAATGGGACATAGGAGCTAGTACCATCCATTGCTAGTCATAATATTGTTGGTTGTAAGTGGATTTATCGAACTAAACGTAATTCTAATTGTACTATTAACAGGTTTAAAGTTCGTTTGGTGGCTAAAGGCTTTCGCCAACGCCCTGGAGTCGACTATCATCAGACATTTAGTCATGTGGTTAAGCCCACCACATTCCGTCTTGTTCTTAGCCTTGCTGTTAGTCGTGGATGGTCACTTCGACAACTTGATGTTAACAACGTATTCTTGCAAGCCATCTCTATGAAGATGTCTATATGTCACAACATCCAAGTTCTATTGATCCCGACTATCCATTTTATGTCTGTAAACTTCGAAAAGCTATCTATGGACTCAAGCAAGCTCCCAAGGCCTGGTAGCATGAGCTTCGTAATTTTCTTCTTGGTTCTGCTTTTCAGAACTCTCATGCTGATACATCACTTTTTGTTCTCAACACTACTGGTCATCTCATGTATCTTTTATTCTATGTTGATGATATAATTCTCACCGGTGGCAATGATGAAATAGTTCGCCGCTTTGTGGATTTACTTGCTACCAAATTTTCTTTAAAGGATCTTGGGTCTTTGTCCTACTTTCCTGGTGTGGAAGTTGTTCCTCATGAACATGTTATTTTACTCTCTCAGAGGCGCTATATTTTGGACATACTTTCCCGCACCAACATGCTTGATGCAAAATCGGTTCAAACACCTCTTCCTACTACTCCCTCTATCTCCTTGCATTCCGGTTCTCCTCTTACTGATCCTACTGAGTATCGAGCTGCTGTTGGAAGTTTACAATATTTGTCTCTTACACGGCCTAATATATCTTTCGCAGTAAATAAGCTTTCTCAGTTTATGCATCAGCCCACCACTGATCATTGGGCTCTTGTAAAGCGTGTCTTATGTTATCTTTGTGGTACATTAAATGATGGAATCCTTTTATATCGGGACTCACCACTATCTTTACATGCTTTTGCTGATTCTCCATTTTCTCTCAATGTCTTTTCTGATGCGGATTGGGCTGGTAATATTGATGACTACTCATCTACTAGTGCTTATGTTGTTTACCTTGGTCGGAATCCTATCTCCTGGAGTTCTAAGAAGCAACGCACCATTGCTCGATCCTCGACAGAGGCTGAATACTGATATGTTGTTGCTACTGCTGCTAAACTTAATTGGGTTTGTTCTCTTTTGACTAATCTTGTTGTTCCTATTCCAAGAACTCCACTGATATACTGTGACAATGTTGGGGCAACACATTTGTGTTCTAATCGTGTATTCTATTCAAAAATGAAACATGTTGCTATTGATTTTNGTTCAAAAGGGCTCTCTTCGGGTTGAACATGTTTCATCTACTGATCAACTTGCTGATGCACTCACAAAACCTCTTCCTCGGGCCAGATTTCTTCTTCTCAAGAACAAGATTGGACTCGCCTCTCGTGCTCCATCTTGAGGGGGCATATTAGCAATATTTGGATATTTGAATTTATTTAAATTCTTTTGCCTATTGTTGTTGTAACCATTCAGCCTTATCTGTTTTTGTATTTTAGTTTAGCCTTTT